TAACTTTATCTTAATTTTACACTCGAAGAAACTGAGGCTTAGAGGATTTAAACGACTCATTGGTCCTTAGATAGTAAGTACGGGATGCAGGATACAAATCCATAGGTGCCTGGCTTCAAATCATTTACTCTTCTACGTGCTACATTTCAATATTTTTCATTATGAAAAGTGCAGGATTCAAAATGTTATGGTATCCTTAAATGTGCTTGCTGTCTTCTTAGGCAAGTGTCTTCTTAGGCAAGAATCTTCTCTCACCATGGAATTACAGCATTTTAGAGTTGTAAAAGCCCTGAAAACCATGAGGTCCTGTGGGTCCCACGTGTGGGCCAAAGCGCCCTGCTCTACTGCTACAAACTCACAGGGCTGGGGTGGAAATGTTTAAACTTTCAGCGTAAACACACTGACTTCCCATATCTGTCAGACACTTTGAACCCCTAGCTCAAGGCATTTCAGTTTCAACTTTAGATAATGTTAAATCCCTTTGAGTGACATCATACTTTTTGAAACTGTTGCATTTCCTAGGTTGAGATGATAAGAAAGTACTGCAGTATAATCGATGTGAGATAGGAGATGAGGGTGGCAGTACCCAATCTCATTTCAAGGTTTGAGAATTTGCACTCAATGAGTGCACACATCCCATTAATAACTAATTGTGCTTATTTAAGAGTGAAAATTTAAAAAATTGTTTCAAATGATTTGTCATTTTTTCAAATGGATACTAAGTTTTGAGGATATAAATATTTATTAAATTTTTGGGGCCTAACGACTTACAAAAGGGACTGTAAGGCACTTCTTTTGGTCTAGGGTCTTGACTATACCCATGGAAAAACTACTGAGACACTAAGGACACCACGAACCAAAAAATCTTGGGGACCTCTGAGCTAGTCCAATATGCCATACCATGTATGAGGTAGACTCTTTGAACATATTCACAGATCTTAACAAAGACAGAAGTAAACTAGAAAGGAAACAGGAAAATGAGGTAGTGATTACAGTAACCCCAAATCATGATTTTGTTTAAAATTATGAAGCATGGCATGTATCAAAGGCTTTATGGCTTCTCAGATTTGCCCTGCCAATATTTCCTCAACTCAGCGTTAGACTATTTTACACTTCTCTTCACACTGAGAAAAATCTCCTATTTGGTCCCAAAGCTTGTAGACAAACAACTTTTGGGGTATCTGTGGAGATGGGAAACATATTTATATAAAAAATATTATAGATTTCCTTTTATAAGCAAGTCAATAACAGTATATATTTGTTGCTGTCCATGTCATCTCTAAACGCTGAGAGCTTATTACTTCGTTCAACAAATTTTTCTTGACTATACCCTGGACAAACATTATATGAAGTCAGTGCTAAGTGTTCCACAATGACAACTTTAATTAAGGCATGTTTGATAATCAACTTCAACCTTGTCTTTTAAAAAAAATCACATTTAAGTGAATTAAAAATTAACATTTTATTTTTCTTTACTTGATTAACTCATGGGTTGACATGTCTTTAAAAATTAGACAACTGGTAATTTACAGATTAAATTAAAATTATGTTTTGTTAAATATTTAATAAATGAATATTTGGCTCTAAAAATACCCAAACTATAGATGAGTATAGAATAAAAGATACAGGCCCAATTTAGTAAGCTTCTTTATTCTCTACTATCTAAATCCTATTTTTTTCTCAGAAGTCACACTTGCCTACATTTTGGGATATATCTTTCCATTATTCCAAGTATTTAAATGCACACCGAGTGGGTCATATTATAATACATATATAACTCTGCTGTCACTTGCTTATTTCCCCTTATTCATAAGTTTTGAACCATTACATATAGATAGATAGATATCTTAGGCAGATATGTATCTTATTTATTTGTTTATTTTTCCCAGTTTTACTGAGATATAATTGACATATAACACTGTATTAGTTTAAGATGCATAATATAATTATATGATATTGTTATATATTGTGAAATAATTACTGCAATAAATTTAGCTAACATCCATCACCCCACATAGTTACATATTTATATATATGTGTGTGTGTATATCTTTTATTAAAAAAACATATTCCCTAGAAGATATATATATCCTTAATGAATATATATGTATATCTTTTTAATGAATTCATAGTTTTCTACAGTATGGATTTACCATAATTTAGCCAATCTCCTGTGATTTCTATCAGATTATTTTCAGTTTTTTGATATTACAATGATGCTTTATATAACATCTTCATTCATATATCCTTGTCCACATATGTGAGTAATTCTTTTTGTGTATATTCCTAGAAGTAAAATCCTTTGGGACAAAATACATGCGTTTTTTAAATCTTGATAGATATGGCCAAATTGCCTTACAAACAGGTGATAACCATTTGTATTATCAATGGTATAGCAGACTGCTAGTTCCCCAACAAACTTTTATGGAGAAATGTTTGCAATTTTATTTGTGGCCTATTGCACAACCCAACTCATGAGTGTTCACTCAATACTAGAATATATTTTTTAGGTTTACTGTCCAATATAATTAACAGAATTAGCCAGATCATACATATTGACACATTTTGTCTCCATTATCTGCCAAGTTTTGAGAGAACTGTTTAAATGATTCCACTATGATTGTACCTTTGTCAGGTACTTCTTAAATTTCTAGCAATTTTTCCTTTACTTTAAAGCCGTGATGTTAGGTGCATAAAAGATTCATGAGCTATAAAATATTGGTAGATTGTGTCTTATAACAATATATAAAACTGTAATCTTGAATTTCTTTCTTTTGACTGGGAATACATGTTTTCTGATATACCACAAAGTATTTATTTTAGTTAGTTGTGCGCTTGTTACATTACTTTCCCTCCTTTAGCCTTTACCCTTTTGGCTTCATATTGCTTTCCAGGTTCCTCTTGCAAAGCGAGAGGAACTAGTGACTAGAATTTTAACATTTCTTTTTAACATTTATTTTATGTCACTTAACCTGGAAACTTCTGTCCTTTGAAAAGAATTAGTTGTGATTATTGATATATTTTGACTTATCTGAGCATCTATTTTATGTTTTCTATTTACACATATTCTTGTGTTCGTCTTTATTTGTTCCTTTATGTTATATTGCTGACTCGAATTACGTTTCTTTGATTTGGAAATTTCGTATGTTTTTATTCATCTAGTGGTTATATTTAGCTTTTTTGTTACTTATTAAGGTATAATCTACATACAAGAAAGGTACAAAGAACTTACGCACACAGTTTGATCAGTTTTCACAGTGCCCCTATGTAAATTACATCCTCATCAAGCGCTCCCTCACCTAAGAAATTTCCCTCCAGTTCTATTCCAATAATCCTCTGCCACTCAGAAACAAACACTGTTCTTATTTCTTTAACTATAAATTAGTTATGCTAATTCTAGAATTTCATATAAATGGAAGCATGCAGCACGTGACCTTTCCAGTCTGCCTTATTTTAGTCAGCATGTTGTGGATTTTCATCCATGTAATTGTGCACATCAGTAATTCATTCTGTTATTTTGCTAAGCAGTATTCCACTGTGTGAAATACCAGAATTTGTTTATCTATTCACCTATTGTTGGATATTTTCTGTCCAGGTGTGTGCTATTATGAATAAAGCTACAATAAATATTTTTGTGTAAGTCTTTTTTGGTGGATGTACATGTCAAGAACTGTAAGGAGTCTGGGATTTTACTCTTTTACAAGCTAAAAAATTTGCTTGGCACTTTTGTGGATTCTGGCAGAAGACTTGAGACTACTGAATCAGAGACAAAAGACTTTATTCCTCAGAGCACAGTTAGCAGCATGAGTATCAATATATTTCTGTCCGTTCCCTTTGTCTCCAACTCTCATGAGGTGATAATAGTGGGGCCCAGGTGGATATTATACATGCAGTGGGTTTGTGGCAACACCCAACCCTGACCACACCAAATGCCGACAAGGACGTGGAGCAATAGGAGCTCTCATTCATTGCTGGTGGCAATGCATAATGGTCCAACCACTTTGGAAGACAGCTTGGCAGTTTCTTACAAAACTATACATCCTCTTACCGTATGATCCAGCAATAGCACTCCTAGGTATTTATTGAAATGAGTTGAAAACTTATGTCCACACCAAAACCTACACATGAATGTTAAAAGCAATTCTAGTCATAGTTATTAAAAATTAGAGGCAAGCAAGATGTCCTTGACTATATGAATGACTAAACAAACCATAGCACCTCCACGCAATGGAGTATCATTCAGTGATAGAAGAAATGTGCTATCAAGATAAGACACGGTGAAACATTAAATGCATATTACTGAAAAACCAATCTGAAAAGGCTACATACTGTTTGATTCCAAATAAATGACATTCTGGGGAAGGCAAAACTACAGAGACAACAAAAAGGAACAGTAGTTGCCAGGAGTTTAGTGGGAAGGGGAGAAGAATGAACAGGTGGAGGACAGGGCATTTTTAAGGCAGTGAAATTAGTCTGTAAGACACTGGAATGATGGATTTGTGACATTAACCATTTGTCAAAGCCCGTAAAATTGTACAACATAAAAAGTGAACTCTAATGTAAACTAAGGGCTTTATTTAGTCCATAATAATGTATCAAAATTGGATCATCAATTGCAACAAGTACACCACACAAATGCAAGATATTAATAATGGAAGAAACTGTGGGGGGCTGATGTTGCAAGGCGGTAGGCAGTATATGGGACTCTCTATACTTGCTGTGCCGTTTTTCCCTAACCCTAAGACTACCCTAAAAAATAAAGTCTATTACAAAAAAAACACACACACTCTTAAAAAACAGTTTGTGGGGGCTGGCCTGGTGGTATAGTGATTAGGTCTGCACGCTCCACTTCAGCAGCCTGGTGTTCATGGGTTCAGATCCTGCATGCAGACCTGCACACTGTTCATCAGGCTGTGCTGTGGTGGTTTCCAACATACAAAACAGAGGAGGTTTGGCGTGGATGTTAGCTCAAGGCCAATCTTCCTTACTGAAAGAACAAAAAAAGATAGTTTGATACTAAGGCTGTCAGTGCCTCTGGTCACATAGCACAGGGAAACACGAAACCTGCAGGGAATTATTCCACTCATATGGAGCTCCACTTTTTATGCCATATTGGCTTCTGGTAAATTTTTCCATGAGTATAACATCCTGTTGATTACTCTGATTAATCTGACCAACAGAGGTTAGAACAAAATATGTTTATTTCTCTTATACAACATTTGATAAGGCTACTGTGAACAGGGTTCCAAACACTAGGATAAGGTCAGCCTACAGCATTAACCACAACCATGCTCCTCTTCCCATGGTTTCAGTCAAGCCAGCTGAACCAGGGCATACCCTGATATTCCAGAGGCTTTTTCCATTTCTGTATTGACCTTTCCACATGGCTCAGGGATAACTTAACATATTAGTGGTTACATAGACCTCTGTCTTGGCCTACAAAGAGGAAGTCTAGTGCAATTCTATCATCCATTACAATGCCAACCAGTGAGTTGACGCAGACTTGCATCTCTTCCAGGTCTAAAGTGATGCCACTGATTACTTCAGCCAAAATCAGGGACAAATATCATACAAGTTGGAATTGGATGAATCCATCATAGAGATAAATAATTAGACAGTTTTCCCTTTGGGGAATCCTTTCAAGTAACCAAGTATAGTCTCATTTTGGAGAGGTCTCTGCAGTCATCTGACAGATACATGATCTACTTATTACATTTCCTTAAATACATGAAGGTCCCATATAACTATCCTAAGGTACAAATCACAGTATTTTCAGGAGGGAAGCAAGTTAGTGCTGGCTTCAATGCACAAAGCATCATTTCGGGGGCACATGTGCTACCTGGAAAGAAAATGATGCTTACAAATTTGGGGCCCCTCCAAGTGGGACCTACATGAGTCAAGGAGATTATAGTGTCTCCAATGTAGTCTCCTAGCTGATTGGTAGGTCTTACACTTCCCAGTTCAGTTCAAGTAGTTGAGTCTATTCCATGTTTTTGGTGAGACCCTCTGAGGAGAGATACTCCAATCTGTGCTGTTTATCCTCACCCCCAGCTGGGTGGCATTTGTTTGCTCCACAGAATGACTGAGAAAGGTAGTGGGAAAGATAGCCAGATGTGATAACAAGTGTTTTCCATGGGAGATGGAGGACCTGGGATCATTCCCTGCTATTTCTGATATACTTTATAATAAGGTTGAGGGGAATGGCAATCAAATCATGGTCAGAACCATGTAGCAGGGTTGGCCAACTCTGCAGTCAGTTAAATTCAAGCCATTCACAATAGTTTGGTAGAGCTGCAGTAGGGAATTTCCCTTCATGAAGAAAGTTCCAAGGGTGATTCTGAAAGACAAACATCATTAACATCCCACCCTCCTCCATACCGCCTGGGATCTAAGTGCTTCCTTCCCCAAGAGCTGGGAGTGTTACTCTCTCTTAGTCATTACAAAACTGTGTCCCCCATTCTGGTAGCTACAATTTCACTTTTTCCCCCTCAATCATCTCTTACTTTTCCATAGAGAAGGGTCAGGTGCTAGAAGAAAAAAGGCATTTTAATAAAACTTATAGAAAGCCATTAAGTCCTCCCCATTTGGTCTGCATGGTCCACTGTAGGGGGACTGAGTGATCAGTGCACTCAGCCAACTTGTCATTATCCTTATGATCCAGGGTACTGTCATTTCAACAAGGAAATCCAGGTACCTGAAGCAGAATTAAGTTTGAATCCCTTAGGTTCCTTTTGGTTGGTTTACCACCAAGATGATGTACCTACAAGGCTGACCTTGGTTTACTGTTAAGGAGAAAGAAAGCATCATATCCAGGAAGGATCAGAGCAGAATCTCAACTTTTCAAAATATATCTATGTAATCCCCCATCCTTTTTATCCTGATCATTACATGGGAAGTGACTAAGAGAGGACTATCTCTTTCTGGGGTCAGTTGCATCTAGTGAGCAAACTACCTACTAAGGTTTGTGGATAAGGGGGAGATGAGAGAGGCAGAGTCAGAAATCCTTTTGAGTCTCTCTCTTTTTTTTTTTGAGTCTATTTTTGAAGAGGCATTCCAACACTCAAAAATATCACATGTCTCTGGATGGCGGGAAGTGTGGAAAGTGCATTGATTACCTTGACCATTATCCATTGTTGAGTGGCCTTTGTGATAAAAGGTGCATCATTTCCCAACTGCAAATGGTCCAGAAAGTCAGAAACATGACATAGGTTAGTTTTAAGGGACACAATAATGTAACCAGAGTTGGCTGATCAGAGGAAGAATAACACTGTAACCTGAAAATGTGTCAAGAACAGTGAGGCACTATGATAGTCCTGAAAAGGTTGAATGGTCTAATATAGTCAGTTTTCTAGGAACAGGAGGGGTAATGCCTGGACGATGTGATCTCCTCCACTGCAAGACACATGGGCCAACTTTTGGTAGGAGATACAAGTCTGATAGTGCTATCCGCTGAATCAAAAACTAAGTCTTTTATTACGTGCCAAGCTTCTGGTGGTGAATGTGTTACCACGTCTAGTGCAATGGTGAATGAGGCAGCACTAGTGGCATCCACGTGGAGAAGACTCCGTTAGCAATCAAGCTCAATTAGCAGTTTGATTCCATGCAGTCTCATCAGAAAACAGGCCCTTACCATGGGCATTCACATGTGTGACTCAGACAGTATCATCTTTAATCATGATTTTATTTCTACAGCTCACGGCCCCAAAGAGGGCTGTCTTTAATCTGTCAGTCTGTTGTTTTCTAAGTGACAGACCAAACAGCCTGGCCATTGACAAAAAACAGAGTCAATAAAGGTATAACAAGGTTCACTGAGGCGAGTACTAAACAGAGCTATGTGAAATGCCTTGAGTCCTGCAAATAAGCAAAGTAACCATGCCTATTTTTGACCCTGGATACCTGGAACAGAGGCTGAACTGTGGCTGCAATCCGGTAGTCATCATCAGGTTTCAGCTTGGCCAAGCTATAAGTAAACTAGGCCCAGGCATTTAGGGAAATCTCTTTGAATTAAGAAAATCCAGTGGCTTTGCTTTAAGCAACAGAGTCGGGGATAATGTCTCTCCCAATGAGATAGGTAACACTTTTTCTTGTAAAGTCAAGAAACTTCTGGAGCCAGGCCAGTTGCTTTCTTGAATATACCATTTCCATTTGTCAAGCAAGGCTTTATGTACCCTTCCAAACTTGTCAGTTATGGAGTCTGAGTTGAACCACCCCAAAATGGAAATATCAGGCCAGAGAGACACAAGGATTCCTTGAGTTGGGAGTTCATTTTTGAGAAGAACCCTAAAACAAGCTAATAGCTGGATGTGACTTGGAGCTGCTGAATCTGAAACCCAAGGTCTATCTTCCAGTAATAGCTGCCTCCCTTTTCCAGAGTCTTATATTAGCATCGTCATCAGTTGTAGAGACTTAAAGTTCAAAGAAGTCATTAGAGTTGTGGGTCCCCAAAAGAATTAGCACTTTCTCTGCATCTAGCTTTTCCTTTGACACTTAAGGGAGTAGTAAGTACATGCATATAACACATCAATTCATATTACACATTTGGATGTAGAAAAGCCAGCAAAAGTACATTGAATTGGCCTAAAGTCTCCACCTCATCCATCATGAACCCTGCTCAAATCCCTCATTTAATCTGGGCACCTCCTATCCCCAAAAGACTGGATAGGATGGGGAGTTGAATGTCAATATCCCACAGAGCCAGAGTAACGTCAGCAAAATTCATGGAACAAAAACCTTCAGAGACAGCCCTGATGGCCTATTTGTTAAAGTTTGGTGCTCATTGCTTCGGTGGCCTGGGTTCACTTCCCAGTTGTGGAACCACAGCACTTGTCTGTCAGTCACCATGCTGTGGTGGTGGCTCACATAGGAGAACTAGAATGACTTACAACCAGGATATACAACCATCCACTGGGGCTTTGGGGAGGAATAAAAAGAGACAGGACTCATCAACAACAACAACAAAAAATCTCCAAAAAAGTCTTCCTTAAGACACTAGAAAAAGAAGAGCAAATTAAACATAAAGCCAGGAAAGGTAGAAAACAGTAAAAACTGGAGCAGAAATTAATGAAATAGAGACTAGAAGAAATTAATGAAGCCCAAAATTGGTTCTTTGAAAAGATCAACACAACCATTCTCCTCATGTTGTGTATAATTTACTCTCCTTTTTCTATCTTCTTAAACTGGAAACATACAGCACGGACTTTACACCTTTTCCCTCATGTGTTATAGCTATATAAAGATATAATTTTCTTCTAGGGGCTCCTTTTTATTGTGTCCCACATATTTTTATATGTATTATTTTCATTGTCTCCATGTTTGGACTACCTTTTAATTTCCTTTGTGATTTCTTTTTTGACTCATGGGTTATTTAGTTGTATAATTTCCAAATATTTTTGGATTTTCTAGATATGTTATTGCTTTTAATTCTTAAGTTAATTTTATATTAGTGAGCATACTATGTATCATTTTAATACTTTTAAGTTTACTGATACATGTTTTATGATTCAGCATATGAACGGCTCTGTCTGCCAATAAGCCCATCAAAAGATATCTTCATCTTTTTATTATAATTTTTTTTTTAGCATTTCCACTTAGCTTTTATAACACATCTTTCTGATGAAATTCTCTATCTGTGGTAGGCAAAGTAATGTCCCCCAAAGATGTCCATGCCCTAATCTCTAGAACTTGTGAATGAAATGTCACATGGCAAAGGGGAGTCAAGGTTTCATATAGGATTAAGATTGCAAATCAGCTGACCTTGAGATGGTGAGATTACCTTGGATTATCAGGTGTGCCCAATGTAATCACAAGGTCCTAATAAGTGAAAGAGGGAGGCAGGGGAGTTAGAAAGAGATTTGAAGATGCTATGATGCTGGCTTGAAGATGCAGGAAGGGGCCATGAGCCAAGGAATGCAGGAATTTAGAAGCTAGAAAAAGCAAGGAAACATATTCTCCCATAGGTGGAATGCAGCCCTGCTGAAGCTTGATTTTAGCCCATAAAGTCCATTTCAGTGTCCTGACCTCCAGAACTTGAAGATAATAAATTTGTGTTTTTTTAATACACTAAATTTATGGTAATTTGTTACAACAATAAGAAACTAATACACCATCAGTACACAAGTTAGTCATCCCTCTCCAATAAATTCTTAAATTATTTTTAACTTGTATTTTAATATCCCTGTCTTATAACTCCAAAATTTGGGTCATCTCTGGCTCTGGTCCTAGTGACTATTACTTCTTGATAATTGGTCATTAATTTTTGATCCTTTGGATGTCTCAATTTTTTTCATTGAATGCTGGATATTCTGAGCAAATTAACAATATAGACTGAATAAACAGAAGGTGCCCCTACCCACAGAGCACATCAGTGCACAGCATCCAGCAAGTGGTGCTTCAGCCCCTATGTGAGCACCCCTCACCCTTAGCACAGTGTAGGTGTGAAGGCACCTCACCCACTCAGAAGGTACCTTGCCTGCAGAGCAAGCAGCCCACAGGACCCACTGAGTAGTGACTTAGCCTCTGCAGAGGTGCCCCTCTGGCTCAGCCAGTCTCCTGATGAGAACAGAGTCCCTTCCTATGGTACTTGACCTGCTCACCCAGCACAGAGGCCATGCCCACGTGAGCATAATCTACAGAATGGCTAAGGCAAGTCTGGACAAACACAGAATAGCCCTACCAGCACAACTTCCATCAGATGTGGTGGGATGAGAAAACATAGCTCCTGCTCACCCCCCAGAGGTGGTAGGTAGAATCTGTGACTTGATACTACCACAGATGTGCTGGTAAAGGATCACTTCATCAAACACCACGAAGAACTACATTAACACATCAGAGAAGAAGGAAAATGACAATTCTCCGGAAACCAATTGTGTACTCACAGAAATTTACATTCTAAATGACAGAGAATTCAAAATAGTTATCATAAAGAACCTCAATGAATTACAAGAAAACTCAGAAAGACAGTTCATTGAGCTCAGGAATAAAATTAGTGAGCAGAAGAAATATTTCACCAAAGAGATCGAAACTTAAAATAAAAAACAACAAAGAGAAATTCTGGATATGAAGAACACAATTAATGAGATAAAAAATAGAGGTGACATTAGGGAGGACAGAATTAGTGATTTAGAGGATAGAAATATAGAAATGCTTCAGGTGGATGAGGAGAGAAAACTAAGATTTTTTTAAAATGAAGAAACACTTCGAGAAATATCCATCTCAATTAGGAAAAGAAACATAAGGATTATAGGTATTCCAGAGGGAGAAGAGGAGAAGAAAGGGCACAGAGCTTGTTCAAATAAATAATAGCTGAGAACTTCCCAAACCTGGGGGAAAAACTGGACT